CAGCAGTATGTGCAGTTCCCTCAAGGTCATAATCATTGGCACCTGTGAAAAAAGTTAAACTTTAATGAACAAGAAATACTATGTTAATATTTTGCTTTTCAATTCCAAATTGTGTAAGAGGTTCTGATTACACTCCTAATCTCAAGGCAAGTCCAGCCTTGTTCCAAAAAAAAAAAAATCAACATTACAGGCATGTGAAAATGTTGCAGAAGTGCCTAGAATATAGCTCTGGGAACTGCAAATCAACAGAGCACTAAATGTTTTAAAAAAAATCGCATGCATTGGAGACCTACCGTGAGTACTTTCAGCATAGGATGAAACTTATACTCAGTACCGTCAGTAACTTCACATCTTTACAGAAGACCCCAAAATGCCTTTTTTTTCCTTGTAAAAGTCTAAAGTTAGCTTCTGTCCAGTTTTGTTCCAACATTTTTTAATTTAAACTGAATATTAAACTAAAAGTGACACTTTCAAATGAGAAACCAATTAATCTGGAGCCCATCCAAAATATACACACTGCAAAGACAAGAGTTTTTATCAAATTGTAATAGACATTCTTCTGTAAAACTAGCTGTTAAAAGGAAAGATTCAATCAATGTTTTTACTTACCAGAATGCCCTTCTGCAACAGACTCTGAGGTAAACAAAAATCTTTTTTCTTTTTTAAAAATACTATTTGACATGTTTTAGAAAGCCAGCAGACAAGGAGAAACTCCAGCAGCTAGATTTCAGAGCAAGCGCAGAGAGAAAAGAGAGGTGAAAGGTTAATTTATCTATGCAAGCTGCTGATGTAACCATTCTGCAAGTTTATTACCCAGAAGTTCAACAGATTTAAGATTGCTTTTACTAAAATATACGCTGCACTGCATCTGATAACACAAATGGATTTCTAAGTCGTTTGTACTTTGTTCCCACTAAAGTGAAAGGGAACAAGGCTAGACCAATGCTTGGTGCTTTTACAAACCTCTTTGCCAAATCCCATTCTTGTCTTGGACTAAGTGAGCTCCTGAGGTCCCTTCCACCACTTCCTAGGATTCTCTTAAATCAAGTAAAACTGATTCATTTGGGAATTGTAACAAAACATCCTGCAGACTCTTATCATGAAAGCATGTGGGGGAAACATCACATTCTCTTTAAGCAATATAATATCTGAAAGCTCTATTTTGCTTCAGTGATGCAAGTTGCAGAAAAATATTCTGACATGAATAAATATATACAGATGGTAAGGGACATCCCTCTTCTGAAACACTATAATTGAGTCTATAACTGAATGAGAACTTTTATAGTTAAAAGCTGACACTATATAATGAGTTCTTTACTGTCCCTGGGAAAGCCACCTGGCTGGTTCTAAGCTATCCTTCAAAATGAGTAAAGACAGCATCCTGAATGTTTAGGCTATCTCTGAAAATTTTGATTGTAGACTATCTTTTTTTCCCCACTCCTGATCAATACAGATTACTCCTCATCCTGTTTACAATTATATAGCAATTTGGCATTTGCTTACTGTAACAGGGCCCCTAACCCCTTTACTTAAAAGAGGGTAAGTACAAATTGCAAGGCTGCAGGGGTACAGACTGAAGGCTGTAAGTTACAGACAGCAAAGCAGCAAGGTTGATTATGTAATATAATAGAGAACCCCTGGCACAAAGGCTAAGAAGGCTGTAGCCAGAAAGGGAGGAGCCAAGAGATACAAATTGGGCTTCAGGCAATCTGTTTCAGGATGTACTAGTGGAAAAAATTCCCTTGATTGGGAACTGAGTAAGCCCAGAAGAGCTGTAGCTGGGGTAGTCAGTAGAGAGAAGCCTGCAGGAAAAAGTAACTTGCTACATTTCTAACCTAGGGTAAATATGCTGCAAGGCAAGGGACAGCTACTGGGGAGAAGGGAAGGCATTTGAGGAAGAGTGAGCAGAGATTTTTTTTGTTTGCTTGCAAGTAGCTGTGAGCAGCCCACCCCTGGAGGGGAAGAGACTTCAGTATGGACTCATCAGGCCCTGGAGAGAGCGATTATAAGCAGGTTGGTAAATGTGCTGTTTGGTAGGCTGGTTTTATTCCCTAAAGAGCTCCTCAGTCAGTCTTGTAAATACAAAAACACAGTCCTTTCACCAAACGAACAAATAAACCAGCAAACAAAAGCCTTTAGCTCTTTTCTGGGTAGCAAGAGGGGGGGCCCTTTTGGCCCTGTACAGTAGTGTGGCCCCTACCTGGTAGCAAACTTATCAGGGGTCTAGTTTCCCTCCTGCCTGCAAACTATTCCTTCATCCAGTTTGCTTCCACCTGTTCTCCCATCTGGGGTTTTAACCTACTAATGGGATATTACCTAACTGCCCACAGTTAAGCTTCTTCAGCAAAGCTGCCTGCTCCCTCTTAAAAGGCTAGACAGCCCTGTTGCACTGATTTTAGCCCAGTGAGCCAGACCAAGGTGGCCCTGTGATAAGCAGGGCAGAGAAAGGAACCTGAGAGATCACTGGTGATCTGAGGGCCACCTCCCAAAATTGATAGTTAAAAACAAGATGTGGCTGGTGAGGTGGGAAGCTTGACTGTACACTTAGATGTGAAGCGAGTCAAGGTGAGGCCCCAGGAGTAGCAAACCACCTGTGAGACCATCTGGCCTATTATACTTGTATAGAAAGATATTGTTAGGAAAGGAGAAATGCCTGGATAAGCTGTTCTTTTTGAAAGTATTACACTGCTCTGGCGCTCTTTGTATTACCGTAGCCTTTTTATTACATCTGAACAGCACTTAACAGAAGAATGAGTCTGTGCTCAGAGACCCCAAAGCTAAATAAAATATTTTTCTAGGAGTCAGTGCTTTCTGGTGCCTCTAATTTTGGGTGCAATACATCGGACATCTTAAAGAGGCCTGCTTCAGGAAGCAGGTGTTCAGTCTAACAAAACAAGCTTATAAAGTATGTTAGTTCAGAATCCAATATTTACAGCACCCAAAATCACAAGTAACTTCTGAGAATCTACAATTTTGGTGCACAATACAGATAATAGGTGGGTACAAACAAATAGGGAAGGACACACAATACTGTAATGGCTGCTCCTTGCACTACTGAACCATGACGACATACCTGTTCCCAAGCCACTGTCAAATGCTTCATATGCATCAGTTCAGAGTAGACTTGAAGAATTTTCACCTCCCCAACCCTCATCAGTAGTTCTAGCTCAGGTCCTGTCTTCCTTGCTGAGAGAGATGTTTTCTGTCTCAGAGTAATTAATGTACCCAAGGTGAGTATCTGGTGAGGACAAAGCATTTCAGTGTTACCATAAGGTGAAACAGGGAAGGTCAGCCCTCTACCTGACTTGAGACCAAACTCCCCTAGTTTACCCTGTAGTAAATCTGAAGAGCCTTATTTTCCCTCATTACCTCAGGATACCTCATGTGCATTAGCTACCAGGAGATGATGATGATAATACCCCTTTTTCAGCAGTGAAGACAAAGACTGAAGATGACACAAAATTACTGTAGCATCAACCACACACTTACACTTGAGTGTAGCCTGGCTGCCCTACAGAAGCAACAGCAGCCAGTGTGGGATTACAGCTGAGTTGTAAGCATGGGCGACTGGTGCCACCTTAGTCAGGCACGCACATGACCCCTCAGCGACAAGGGGGCATCCCCCCACAACGAATCTTGCCAACCGGGGAGGGTCTCCCCACTCATGCCAGTTAACAGAAATTTGGAAAGAAAAATGGGTTGTGCTGGTAAGCTAAAAGTGCCACTGTGCTGGTTACCTGAGGCACAGGTTTCTAGCCGGAGGGGTGGGGGGCACAGGTGGGAGCTGCATGTGGAACAGGGTGGTGGTGGCGGTATGGGGGCTGGAGGAGGGTGGCTAGAGCCACTGCCTGGGGATGCAGGGGTCCCAGCTCTGGTCCCAGGTGGGCCGGCCAGGCTGTGGGAATTGCTCCTGGGACAGGCAGATCCGAGCTGCACCCTAGTAGCTCTGGCTTCAGCCCTGCCCCAGGCGCTGGGACCTGTGAGCCCTGCTGAGGTGGGGGGGGCGGGGGCAGGCAGGCGGGAGAGCCTGGCCCTACTCCTTGTGGCAGGTGCTGCATCTAGCTACTCCACATGGGTCCATGGGGCTGCAGCCACTGCCTGGGGGCACAGGGCTTCTGGCTCTGACCCCAGGCAAGGCAGGAGGTGCCAGTGCTGGGTCCCCCCCACAACATCTGGCTGAGCACTACTCCCCCCTCCTCCCAAATGCCAGGGCAGCCCAACAGCAGGCTGCTGCAGCAGAGGGAAGGGGCACAAATGCAGCCTGGGAAGAAAGGCAGGGTGCGGCGCCATGTGTTTTCTGCCACTGATCTGAGGCCCCCCAAGAAGAGCCTGGCACAGGCCCTCCAGTCCACAGCCCTCTTGGGGTGTGCACAGCAGCAAGAGTCACGCCCCCTCTGCCCTGCAGCCACTGGCAGCTCCCCCCGCTTTGCTCTCTGCTGCAGCCTCGGAAACAGCCAACAGGCTGCGCTGTGCCCCTCCCCCCGCCCCTTCCCTAGTCCCAGCTTTACTCTCTCCCTCCTTCACCACTGATTTTTTCCTGATTTAAGCTGATTTTTTAACTTTTCTTCCTTTTATCCTGATTCCATCCTGGTTTTCATGTTTGGAAGATAAGCCCTGAAAAATTCCCAGACTGAGAATGTGGAACACGATACATGGGCTGCAGCTCCAGTTACCTCACAGCCCAGCCAATTCAAGTTAAAAGCATCTTCATACTTGTGGATGCATAGGATTTGCTTTTTGGGCATCAGTCAACTCATAATTCAAGAAAGCCTCCGAGCTGGACCCTAGAAAAAGAACCAGTTCCATGTGACCAGTCAGCTTTCATAAAAACACCAGTAAGAACGCACATGCTACCCATATCAGTTTGGTAATTTCTGCCTGTTCCTTTTTAACTTGGAGGAGTAAAAACTTTCAAGGCCCAGCACTGAAGAAGCTTAAGAAACATTTGTAGGGCAGTGATTATTCAAGTGTGCCCCGCTGTGATTTGTAGGGCAGTGATTCTTCAAGTGTACGTGAATCAGAGCAATAAAAGGAGGACTTTAAACAAAAGTTAGTAAGTATGAGAGCAGCGTTCTAAAATTCATTAGCTCATTTAATTTGCTGGGTTCAGTATTCCAAAATGTAAAGTAAAAGACGGGGCAGGCATTGACTTACAGTGAAATTACCAAGGCACTATTCTGTGAACAACTGATGCAAGATAATATGAAAACTTCAAAGCAGTATGAACTGAGACATGAATGACCCTTCACACCCTACCCAAGGATGCCCCTGAAAGTATAGTGTGTGAAAGGAATTGAGGATCAGCCACCAAATACAATTTTAAGATGATGAGAAATTGGAACATGGGGAGGGGGGTGATAAGGCACCTCCCCATCTGCACCCCTCAAAACCCCAGATCCTGACCATGCAGCTGGTCCAGTAAAAAAACAGAGGTCACCCACAAAAACCCTTAAGTGCTACTTCCTTCCCTTAAGACACACTTCCTTCCCCAAAGAAGACAGCACAGCGGGTAGGAAGGCAGCAAAGGCGGGGAGGGGCCTGCAGGAGCTGGTGGGGGATGCTCATGCTGTGACAGCAGAGGCTGTCCTTGCTCTAACTCATGGTGCTTTACAGGAAGAGAGAGAATGGGAGCTGCCCGCTGCAGTTTGTCCAGCCTGAACTGAAGCTGGGGGACCACAAGGCACAGCAGGTGCTTAAATCCCTCTGCTCCCTCTCCAGCTCAGGCCTGCAAACTCCAACTGCAGCTCCCACCCCCCTCTCTTCCTGCAGACAGCACCAGAGCAGGGGAGGCCAGGCAGCTTGACCCTGGGGAACAGAAGGTACTTAAGGCAGCGGTTCCCAAACTCGGACAGATTTGTGCGCCGCCAATTTAAAAACAACACAACTTAAAGTACCGCCAGCAAAATTTTCAGTTCAGCCTTAAGTACCACTAGCAAATTTTTGGCATATAAAGTAATTGTAATAAATCTGCACATGTGCACCACTGACAGAGCATCTGCGTACCACTGGTGGTACCCGTACCCAGAGCTGACCTGAACAGGGTGCAGAGCCCAGGCAAATCAGCTCATGCGGGGCCCCATCGCCACTCCTATCTCATGCACCCTGGATGCGAAGAAGCCACTGCCGTCATTGGCAGGGGTGGGGGGTAGTGAGTGGCTGGACATGAAACCAGCAGTGGCGGTGCACAGTAGCCAGAGCCACTCTGCTTAGATCCACGGCGCCCCCCCCAGAGCACAACGGCCCTGTCCCTACCATGGACTGGGAACCATGGGCATAAGCCGGTCCAAAGTGGAGTGAATGCCTTTATCTGACCCCTCCTCAAATAAAGGTTAATTTGTTGCACTTTGAATGCACTCTGCAGCCCCGCACGTGTGTCCGGGTAGCTTGCTGGACAACGCTCCCTTGTGTCCGCGCAAAATTAGGGTTTGACGCCTCAGGGCGGGGCGACGTCTTCTCTGGGGCCCAAACGGCCGGTGCCCCTGCAGACCCGCTCCGCCGGCCGGGGCTTTAGCACCCTTTCCCGGGACCCCGCGCCAAGCGCGGCCCGGGCCGCCCCGCGGGGGAGGCTCAGAAGCAGTGAGGAAGGCTGCGGGGCGGGGCGGGGCGACATCACTGAGTCTGCTGGGGGCTGGGCCGTGTCTGGAGGAGGTGTCGCCGCCGCCAGGGACCGGGCTCTCGCGCCTCGCGCCGGCGGCCGCAGGAAGGAGGTGCCCGCGCCGCCTCCCGCATGGCTGCGCCGCCGTCCCTGGAGGAGGCGGCGGCCCCGGGACCCGCGCGACCCGGCAGTACCCAGGCCTCGCACCGGCTCTTGGCCTACAGCGACGCGCTGCTCTCCATCATCGCCACCGTCATGGTGAGTGCGGCCCGGCCCCGCGCGCCCGGCTCCCTGCTGGCGGCGGCTGCCCCGCTGCGATTTGTCTTCCCCTCCCTCCGGCCCGGCCCAGCTTCCTCCTGGGCTTGCTCCCCAGGCCTCCAGTGCTCCCGCACCCACGCTCGTCCCCCGCGTCCTGGGCCCCGGAGCTACACCACACGGAGGGGTCCTTACACAGGGGTAATCACTCCGAGTTGTTCACAAGCTTGCTCATTATTATCTCACTAGCACCCCCAAAGCCCCAGTTCGGACCTCGCCATTGCGAGGCATAGCAGGTGCATGTGCAACCCCTGAGCATGGCGACTCACCCCCTGCGTAAAGGTGCCAGCAGTGCCCACGAGTGGTCACCGCTTGCAATCCCCCCTGCCACTGGTGGCATCTGCAGGTGATCCACAATCGCCACTGGCCACCACCACTGCTGCAGGTGGCGCACAACCGCTGGTCAGCACTCGCCAGCCCCCCCCCACTGACAGCGCTGCACTGCCTGCAGGAGCTCCCCACTTACCACACTCCCACCGGCACCACCTGCAGGAGCCATGCAGCCTTAAAGGATGCCTATACACGTGCTGTGAGATGTTCTGATTAGAACACGTTGCAGCAGTCTCAATTAATTGATTAATTAGACGGCTCCAGCGTGCCTCAGTGTGCTGTGGATTCAGCATCCCAAATTTCAAAATGGTGGTGGGGGCACTTTAGTTTAACTAAAGCTTGGACTAAAGCTCATTCAAGGAGCTTTAATTAAAGTACCCCCACACCATTTTGAAAAGTAGGGTGATGAAGCTGTACGTATATGGTACATGGGGTGGGGGGTGCTGAAGGGGTTGCGGGGACAACAGAACATGCATAGTTAAAGCTGTGAAATGTGAAGTGGTGCAACAGATGGAGTCTTGGAAATTTAGAATGAGGAGGAAAAAGAGCCACCAAAAGTTGCTGAAGAAATAGACAGAGAGCCAGGAGAGAACAGTGTTGCCAAAGCTGTCCAGTTGTGACTGTTAGGTATACTGTAGTGTTGTGCTAAGTGATGACGGAACTAAGCCTGCAACTTGATTAAGAGTAAGCTTATAGAATCAGGTAGAATGTGTTAGAAGCCATATCAGAGACCAGTGAAGATGGATTTCATAGAATCATAGAAGTTGGGTCGGAAGGGATCTTGCAGATCTTCAGATCCGGCCCCCTGCCTGGGCAAGAGAAAAAACTGGGCTCAAATGATCCAGGTAGGTAGGCATCAAGCCTCCTCTTAAAGACCCCCAGGGTAGGAGCCAGCACCACTTCCCTTGGAAGTTGGTTCCAGATCCTAGCCGCCCTGACTGTGAAGTAGTTCTTACGGATGTCTAATCTAAACCTACTCTTCAGCAACTTGTGGCGTTATTCCTTGTTATGCCGGGGCGCTAGAGGAAACAAGGTCTCTCCCAAACCCTTCTGCTCCCCCCTAGTGAGTTTATAGACGGTCACCAGGTCCCCGATTTGAAAGAATAAAGTTGCAAATTGTACAGCACTTTGAAGAATGGGAACCACAGTCATTTTTATTGAAGAATTATTCTTTCCTTTACAGCAATGATTCTCAACTGGGGGTTGAAACACCCTGAGGTGTCGTGAGACCCTGTCAGGAGTACTGTGATATCTGGCCTTTGGGCAAAGCAGTAAGTGCACTGCTTGCTCCTCCCTAGTCCACCCCATAGCCCCAGGGATAAGGGACACCCATGGCTGTTCTCTTCCACCCTTTGTCAGCCCCTGTGCTGGGTGCTCTGAGTAGAACGCTTTGCCATGGACAGGCAGTTGGATGCGGAGCTGGATTTTCAACGAGGCTCATCCCCCAAGTTCCTTGCACGCTCCCAGGGCTGTTTGGAAGGGACTGCAGGAGTAGGTGGCTTTGTACCCTCGTGTGGGAGTCCCTGGAGGAACAGCAGTGGCTGCAGGGCTGTGCTTCCCTCTTAGGTACAAACTCCATCTATTGCACCACTTCATGTTTCACATAGCTTTAACTAATACCAACACATAGATTAGCCATGAATATGTCTTCTTTCCCATACGTACACTGGTCTTCTTTCATTTAATGTAACACCCATTGTCAACTCTTTGGAGCAGGAGTTGCTTTTATTAAGGGTTAGTATGGTGCCCATCCTTTAGGCATTTTACATTATTGATCTTCTGCTAGAGATGGAAAATGATGTAACGTGTTAGTTCAGGGTGCTATAATATTAATACTAATACTGGAATACCAGCTGTCCAAATAGCATATATACATGCGTTTATGGAACTGTTGCATTTGTTTTTGCAATGTGTAAGCAATAAGTTTGTATTAAACGAAAATGTTTCCCATTTCATTGCAAGTAGGATTGGTTAAAACAATAATATATTTTATTGGATCACTCTACACTTGCTCCAATACCTAGGTCTGCCTAGATATCACTAAAAATCCTTGCCTCCCATACAACATCTAGGCAGTAATTTAGTTAAATTTGTAGTAGCACTTAAAATATCTGGCATCTTAGCTTTTTCAAACTTTATTGCTTTCAGTGACATAAGTTCATTTTAAGTATCTGAAATATACTAAGGCCACTACTTGAAAGTTGGGCTTGTTACCCTCTCTCAGATCCAAGTAATACACTGACTTTCCATCAAGTCTCAGGGAGCGTTTGTAGATTGGTAAGTATTATCCCCATTTTACAAGAAAGAACTGTTGTAGTGTGATTCATTAGTGGTTAATGAATACATAATCATAATATCATGATATATGAACACTGTCTATTGTTTCTTTTCTGTATGATAAATCTCGGGGGCTAGAAGGGGAAAAGGTTTATACTCCATTCCAGTAATGGGACTTTCCTATTTCAGATTTTACCTGTGGCTCACACGAAGATACATCCAGATCAGGTATTCTGTTTGGCATTTTGGATGCATTACTCCTGTTTCTGTTTCAGTCAGAATTAAACATCAGTTTTACTTTCAGTTTCAAATTTATCCTTTGTGGTCAATGTTGCAGGACCTTAGATCAGGGGTGTCAAATTCACTCCATGCTCTGGTCTGGATCCTAACTGCAGAACTCTTTGGTGGGCTAGATCTGGGGCTGGCAGCAACAGTGGTGGTAACCACAGTAGTAACAATGATGACAGTAATAATCACAGAGCTTGTGGCAGCAACGGCAACTGCAGCAGTGGGGCAAGTGGCTGTGGACCAGAAAATTGGTTGCTGTGGCAGAGCAGAGGGGCAAGTAGTGGTAGGCCAAGTGGCCACAGGGTGATCAGGATTGTGTTAGCACAGCCCTTGCTCAAACCCTGCTGCCATAAGGAAAATTGACAGTATCAGCAATTGGCTTTTTTTGGCTGATGTGGCTGATAATGTCACCAATAAATGCCCCCCTCCCAGCGCCACTATCACCCACCCCTAGCACAGCTCGGTGCAGCCCTGGCCTCAGCCCGCAGTGGCAGCCCACCCTCACCCCATGTGCAGATCCAGGAGCAAACGGCCCCCATGCGCTCCTGGTGTGCATACATTAGTGGGAGCAGCCCGCACCCTCCAGACAAGCCTCTTGTGGCTCCATCCTGTGCTCTGCCCCAGCCCCGACCTCATTCCCACTCCCTCCCTCACTGGAGGGGCCTCCATCTGCCCTTGCCCCCATGCCCCTTCCCTCTCTCTATCCCTTCTGCCACAGCAGACTTACCAGCCAAACACTGCCAGGCTGTGCTCCTGGCCACACATCTGCAATCGGATCGGTATCGGCCGATATCCATTAAAAGCTCCTTAAAAACCAGTCGTTGGTATTGGCCCAAAAATCTCTATCAGTGCACTCCTAGTATTTCCTGTATACTATGAAGTCATTACTTAAATAATCTGGAATGTCCTTACAAAATAGGCTTTTGTTTGTTAAACTTAAGATGTCTCTAGTTTCCTTGGGACATTTGACAGGGTTGCATCTGTGGAGTTAATATTGTAGTGCTTGTCATTCTAGATTGCAGAAAACTTAAAAAATACATTTGTCCTCATTTAATAGCATAGAATTGGAGGCACAAAATCATTGATTTGCCTGTGGTCTTGTACGTGCCAGCCTAATTCATAGTTGTGCTTTTATGTTTGAAGACAAATGATCTCTCTTGCTCTTAAAAAAAACAGCAGTACAAATAGCTTACATACTTGTTTCACAATGGTTCATATTCTTAATTTTGCATAGTATATTGTGACACATTTTATGCAATCGCTTAGCTAATTAATGTAGACAATCCAGAATGCTTGCAAACTATTTATTTGGTTATCTGATAATGTCTAGCTAGTACATTTGAGGGGAAAAGGGATTGCTGGAAGAAATGTTTATTTTCATGTGCAAAGTATCATTCCAAAAAATATATTCTGTAGTGACCAGCTACCACCTATTTACAGTTATTGCTAGTAATTTCAGAAAATAATATTTCTTATTTCAGTATTTGAAATGACATGTTTTGGGTTTTTTTTTTTTCCTATGAATGTTATTATATTTTATTTCAGGAACTGGGTGAAAGTGTTCAGCAGCAGCTTCTAGCAAAAATTGCAGTATACCTGATGACGTTTTTAATAGTAACTGTGGCCTGGACAGCACATGTGAGGTATGAAAACCTGTAGCACTGCATTCTGTCACAAAAGTAGTTATTTTATTTTCAGAAGTTAAAGTGAGAGTTATATTTTACTAATAATGACAAGAGAGCCTTAGTCTAGTTTTTTCTAAACAATTACATGAAGAGACTCAATATAAAGAACATCTTTATTACCCCCAAAGAAAATTAAAATTTACAATAATCCATCTCTTTTGAAGGTTTTAAAGTTATTGCAAACTTTGCACCCCAAAGTCTTGAAAACAACTTTTGTCACGTGTACATGTTAAGCCACAGTGGGGTCAAACCTGCAGGCATGCTAGCCCCTGTGGAGGCCATGAAGCCTGCCAAGTTTTAAGGAGATAGGTGCAGGGGTTTGGGGGAAACTGTACCTCAAGCTGTGGGCAAGCAAAACTCATGATGTTGGTGACACTGTGTGTGTGTTAAGGCACAGCAGGGTGGAAGCTGCAGGCCTGCTAGCCCCTGCTGTGGCCACGAAGCCTGCCAGCTATCAAAGAGATAGGTGTAGGGATTCTGGGGCCCAGCGCCTCTAGCTGCTGACAGGCAAAATTCATGTCATGGGTGCTTGTGGGACTGTGTCTGTCTTGGGGCAGAGGGGGGTGAAAACTGCAGGCCTGCTAGCTCCTGCTGAGGCCATGAAGCCTGGCAGCTTTCAAGGAGATAGGTGCAGGGGTTCTGGGTTCTGGGGCCCTGTACCCCGAGCTGCTGGCAGGCAAAAGTCATGTCTTGGGTGCTTGTGGGACTGTATCTGTCTTGGGGCAGGGGTGGGGGGAACTACTGCAGGCCTGGCTGCTAGGCCCTGCTGCGGCCACAAACCCTGCCAGCTGTCAAGGAGATAGGTGCAGCAGGGTTCTGGGGCCTGGAAGAACTGTTTCAAAGCCATATTTCCTAAGACTTAGGCTCCAGGCACTAATAGATTCATACATTGTAAGGCCAGAAGGGACCTTGGAAGATCATCGGGTCCAGCCCCCTGCACCAAGCAGGAAAGACAATTGGGGGTCAGGTGATGCCAGCAAGGTGACCATTCAGTCTCCTCTTGAAGATTTCCAGGGTAGGTGATCACACCACTTCTGGAGGGAGCTTATTTCATAGTCTGGACATCCTAGTTTTGAAGTCGTTTTTCCAAATGTTGAGCCTGAAACAAGCCTGAAATGATCTTCCAGAAGTTTTTGACCATTACTCCTAGTTTTCCCCAAGGGTGCCCTGGTGAACAGTTGTTCACCAAGCCCTAGATGTATGCTTCTGATGTAGTGGTAAGCTGCTACCAAGTCCCCTCTCAGCCTTCTCTTTTTCAGGCTGAAGAGTCCCAGGTCCCTCAGCCTTTCCTCATATGGCTTGCCGTGCAAGTCTCTGGTCATATGGGTAGCCCTTTTCTGGATTCTCTCAAGCTTTACCACATCCTTGTTAAGGTGCAGAGCCCAGAACTGGACACAGTACTCCAGCCAAGTAGAGCAGGAGAATCACTTCTTTGTTATGGTTTTGCTGGAGATGCATCAATTGCTGCATGCCAGGTTATTGTTGGCCCTGCTGGCTACAGCATTGCACTGCCAGCTCATGTTCATACTGTGGTCAATTGTTACCCCCAGGTCTGTGGTGGCAAGTGATGGGGGATCTTCAGTCCTGCTGCGTGATGAGAGGCAGCAGTTGCACAAGCACCCACGTCATGAGTTCTGCCTGTCAGCAGCTAGGGCTGCAGGGCCCCAGAACCCCCCTGCACCCATCTCCTTAACAGCTGGCAGGCTTTGTGGCTGCAGCAGAGTCTAGCCCCTCCCCCATGTGCCCCAAGATAGACACAGTTGCAAAAGCACCCATGACATGAGTTTTGCCTGTCAGCAGCTAGAGGTGCAGGCCCCAGAACCCCTGCACCTATCTCTTTGACAGCTGGCAGGCTTTGTGGCCGCAGCACGGGCTAGCAGGCCTGCAGCTTTCACCCTGCTGCACCTTAACACACACACAGTGTCACCCATGTCACAAGTTTTGCTTGTCCAAAGCTTGAGGTACAGTTTCCCCCAAACCCCTGCACCTGTCTCCTTGAAACTTGTCAGGCTTCATGGCCTCCACAGGGGCTAGCATGTCTGCAGGTTTGACCCCACTGTGGCTTAACACACATGTGACATGAGTTTTATTTTCAAGAATTTGGGGTGCAGTTTCCCCAAACCCCCTGCACTTATCTCCTTGAACCTTGGCAGGCTTCATGCCCTCAGAAGGGGCTACCATTCCTGCAAGTTTCATCTAAATCAGGCCAGAAATGACAAAGTTATAGGATGTTTTGACCTTCCCCATTATCTCCTATAGGCAAAATGTCGAAACATTTTCACCGTTTTGATGGAACAGCTGTTTCAAATCAAAACAAAACTTGAAACAAAATGCTGGTCAAAACAGAACACTGCTGTTTCGCACAACCCTAGTGCTCAGCACACAGGATCAGTGAAATAAATAAAAACAAGTATTGTACACATAGGTAAAATCCCACTGTTAGTATACTGAAAGATACACATGCTTTTCACTTGGAATACTTAATGTAATACCTAAAATTCTACCCCACGCACTTACAGAGTTTACATAGCAAAACTGATCCCAAGCTTGCCTTTTCTGATTAGTAACGCTTCCTTCTCCAGTTGTATTTCCCCGAAAGTAAGCATGTGATTGTAGAGAGTGCATTTTATAGAGCCATGGATTTCAGTATGCACACACCTCCCTTCACAACATGCTTTGCTAAAAGGAAATGAACAAGCAGACTTCTGTTGAATGTTTGTATTGCCTTACCTACTGAGGGCTATTTGGGCTACTTCCAAGTCTGTTATATCAAAACCTGTTTGTTTTGGTTGAGTACTGCTGAGGACAGAGAGTCATAATTGACTTATTGCTGTGCAATGAAAGTAGCTCTGTTACTTTTTTCTGCTGAGGTATTTTGCTAATTCTCAATGACATACTATACGTACATCCAGTAACTAAACAGCAGTTTGATAGAGAATTTAATTCAACTTCTTGTTTTTCTAAGTTCTCTTTATCTAGTACCCGGGTTGGCAGCCTTTTGCCAGCATGAGCTGGAGTTTGTGACCTGCTGTAGCTGCAGGACAAAGGTCCTCTCCCTTACCCCCCAGCAGGCACCTGTCTGCACTCACTCTGTTCCACTGTACTTCCCTTGCTGCAGATCCTTGGCCACTCTGCAGCAAGTTTAAAGTCAGATACTCCATGCCACCCTTGTGCTGGACTGGATTTCTTTGGGGCTGGATGCAGTCTGTGGGCCATAGGTTGTGTGTCGACCAGTCAAAAAAATACTGGTTTTAAGCAACAAAAAGGGTGGCATTTCTCTCAGCATCAGCAAAACTCTTTCCCTCCCTGCTGCCAGAGCTAGAGCCATTTCAGAGAAGGACAAGGACCAGAGTGAGGCATGCTTGTAGCTCTATTCTAGCACATCCCCACCTTCTTTTAGAAAGTGCCTGATGCTTGTGCTTTACTTGCTTATTCACCCTTACACTACTGGTATAAATTGCTAAGCAGAGGAAATAAATTTGCTATACAGTATTATAAGTTCACTTTTTTGGGTGTCAGTTTGCCTTTTTGTCTTGTTTTTGCAGACTTTTTCAGGTGATTGAACTCATAGATGATGTCGTGGCTCTTCTAAATTTGGTGAGTCCATCATGCAGAGTTGGTACTGATTTAACAAAGATTGCTGATACTATGGGTGACTGGTGCCACCCAAGTCAGGGGGGGCACATGTCCCCCCCAGCAACCAATCTTGCTGACTGGGGGAGCAGGGGGACCCCCCAGGGCCGATCACGCCAACCGGGGGTGGGGGGGGTTGGTGCCAGTGGTGCTTCACCTGGTACCCCCACTCCCTGGCCAGTGCTCACAGGGGGGACGCTGGCACGCCTGTCTGCCCCCCCTCCTCACCCCCCACCCATCGCCTAAGCAGGAAGTGCAGCCTGTCAGGGGGTGCACCAGTGCTCTTAGGGCTGCCCTCTGTGCACTCCCTACACATTGCCACTGCCTGATGCAACTACAATTCTTGTTATGTTTTTATCCACACAGTAAGAATAGAGTCTTTAACTCTTAATTTGAGTGGTCTAACTTGATTAAGCAGGGCAACAAAGAATCTTACAGCTTGATTTTTTTTCCCCTTTTTTGCTAAGGTAAACTATCAACTGAAAGTAGATTCAATTTGTCCAGTCATAAGCTGAAGAAAAATTTACTAATAAAAGTTCATTCATCTGAGGTAGTTCTTGTAGCAGTTCTGAAAGAAAGGGTCTGTGTACTGGCTGGACTTGTTCCAAGTGAAAGAAATGAGTCCAGAATGCAAATTTGTGATTTCATTTTGTCCCAAGCCTGGAGGCTCATTTTGGATTGCAGTTTATGGCTTCAGCTGTATTCATAATTAGTATTTTCAAAATCAAGTATTATAATGTACTTGAAACATAAGGTTAATTGTATAATGTTTTAAAAACTACCAGTGATATAACCTGTCCCAGAATCATTTTCATGAGCCTTACGTTTATCATCCTAAGCCTTAGTTTCAATTTTAAAAATACTTTAAAAATTATTGGTTCATGTTGTAGCATGTTCAAAGAGTTTTATTTTTAAAATTTTGCTCTAATAGGTATATTACCATGGTAAATACGTATAATAATTTGGCCCTCTAATGGCAGAAGTGGTAAATTCTTCACTGTTAGAACAGTTAGATAGTAGGATAGAGTCCAGAGAACTTGTGAAATCTCTTCATTGGAGGTTTTCAAGACAAGGTTGGATAAGCGTTGGTTGGGGATCATAGGAAAGTAGGGCTGGAAATAACCTCATTAGGTCATCCAGTCAGTCCAGCCTCCTGTCAAGGAAGGAACATCCCTGACCAAACCCATCTGGCCAAATGTCTGTCTTACCTTCTCTTGAAAATTTTTAGGAAAGGACATTCTGCAGCTTCTCTAGGTGGCCTGTTTCAGTGTTTCACTGCCGTCATAGCCAGAAAGTTCCTCCTAATCTCCAGCCTAAATTTCCTCTGCTACAGTTTGAAGCCATGATCAAGAGGGACTATGCCTAGAGTGTGTTGTAAAACATTAATTCTCAACCAGAGGGCCACAGCCCCCTGGGGGGGCATCAGCAGGTTTCAGGGGGTCTGCCCAGTGTGGCCCAGAGCGGGGAGGATCTGCCTCAGTTCCCCAGGGCTGAGGCAAGTCCTGAGGAAGGGTGGGGGCGGGCCTGCCCCATGCAGCCCCACAGCTCCTGTCTTGCAGGCAGGTCTGCAGGCAGGCAGGTGAGGCTCCTTGCTGCTGCTGCTCAGGTGAGTGGCACCCTGCAGCTCCCCACCCCTGAGCCCCACCCTCTGCTTCCTGGGCCATGCAGGCAGGCTGGGGAGCCTGGCAGTTGTCAGGTATCCAGGTTTTAGCTGTATTGGTCCAGAGGCAAAAGGAATCAGAACTCGTGGTAGAGATGATACCTTTTACTAGATGAACTAGATTTTTGCAAAAAAAGTTCTTTAATTGCAAGCTTTTGGGCACAAGCACCCTTCTTCAGGCATAGGAGAAAAGATTGTAAAGTTCTCCTAGGTAGGAATGAAAGTTCATATTTCATAGGAGAATTAAAGTTGTGGTAAAATCTCCTGTTTGGAACAGTTCATTTTATGCAGGCTCAGGTAAACAGACTATTTCAACTTTTCTCTGAGCCTAACCTCAGTGTGAATTTGGGATTTTAACAGAGAAATTGTAGTTTTTATATAGGGAGCACCAGGATTCCTGCTGGTGAGGCAAGTGGCAGGACCCAGGCAGAGGAGCCTGCTCAGGACTGGCACCAAGGACCCAGCTGGTGGGCAAGTTAGGTGGCTGACCTCCTGGCCATTTGGGGCAGTACACACACATACACCACCCCTCTCAATCACTTGGGTAATGTTTTATTGATATATTTACAATTTTAAAGCAATTTGGAAGCACGCACACCAGGCCCCCCCCAATCAGTTGGGTAATGTTTTACTGATGTATTTACAATTTTAAAGGAATTTGGAAGCCTATCAGTGCCTCTATCATCATAATAAAATACATTCTAAATATCTATATGCTTTGATGTTTGCTTTTGGTTTTCTTGTTGTAGAAAAATTAGAGCTCCCCCTGACCCCTTCACCAACTAGGATGTAAAAATATGCTCAAGGGGCGTGCAGGACCTCAGGGCAGCCTGGACACGAGCTCTGGGAAGCTGCAGCAGAAAGGTGGGGGAGGGGGGCACACACACAGGGACAGACAGACATACACAAGCAGCTACATGCATGTGGCCAGAAACACAGCCGGACAGCATGTAGAGCAGCACCCAGCAGGTAAGTCTGCGGAGGGGAAGGGGTGGGGGGAGACGGAATGTGGGGGCAGATCCAGCTCCCCATGATAAGGGAGGGAATGGGGCAGGGGCTGGGGTGAATGGGGACGAGGTGGGTCATGGAGCCATAGGAGCCTTGCCCAGGAGTTCGGGGGGCGGGCAGCAGGGCTCAGAGCCCCAGCTTGCAGCAGGCAGCCCACCTCCACCTCATGTCTCCCAGGGATGCATGAGCAGTGGGGAGCTGTCCTCTCTGCACCCCTGGACAAGCCTCCCACAGCTCCATTTTCATGACCTGCCCTGGCCTGGAGCCCCATCCATCCCAGCCTGTGCCCTAGCCCCCACTCGCTCCCTCACCACAGGGGCCTCAATCTGCCCCCCTTCCCCTCCACAGACTTATGTGCTGGGCACTGAGCTACATACCTCGGCTGCATTCCTGAAGGGTTACCATATTTCCAGTTTCTAAAAAGAGGACACCTGCTGGGGTGGTAATATGATTGGGGGGGGGGGGGGCAGTGATATGCCTGGACCCTGCCCCTCACTCCCAAGCCACAGCACCCCTCAGCCTTGCTGCTGCCCCTTACTCCTGACCCACTGTACCCTGCATCCTGCCATGGCATGAGGGGATCCCCCCCTCCCCAGGCTCCAAACCCCACACCCCCCACAGCCCACACATTTACCCCCTCCAGTCATGCAAAGTAAATGCATAATTTTGAGTTTTTCTGTGCATAATTTCGAGTTTTTATCTGTGTGTTTAAAATTGAGATTAATTGCAACTAATTTATTTAGACATGCAACTAATTGCATTTTTTAATCACTTGACAGCCCCAGTTCAGACAAGTCCAATCTTTAGATTAAGTCAAGGGTTTTTAACAAGTGTGCCCCTTCTCTCTCAAAGTTCCAGCTCATGTACCCCTTTATACATATATATTTTTTTTTTAAGGAGGGGAGGGCAGATCAAGGCCCCCACGGTGAGGGTGGGATTGGGGCTGGAGCCGCACAGCCAGGGCAGAGTGCAGGACAGAGCCATGAGCAGCTTGTCCAGGAGGTGCAGAGGGTGAGGGGGGCAGCTCCTGCCAGTGCACGCAACCTGGGAGGGCATTGGGTGGGGGGGGGTGCCCCTGTATCTGTGCTCAGGGTGGGGCAGGCTGGCCCATTGGTGGGGGAGGGAGTGGTGCTGGGGCAGGGGCTGCCTAGGCGGGGTGTGCCCAGCTGGGGCAGGGCATGGGACTGAGTTGCATGGGGGGAAGCTCCCACAGCTATGCATACCCCTGGGAGAGCATGGACAGCATGTGCCCTCAGATCTGTGCATGGTACAAGGTGGGCTGCTGCTGTGGGCTGGGGCCAGTGCTGGGCTCTTCCCAGGTCCCCCTCCCCACCCCCCCCTTCCCAGTGCCTGCTGGAGAAGCTGCTCATGGCTTTGTCCTGAACTCTGCCCCAGTTGTACAGCCCCTGGTCCAGCCCCAACACCACTCCCTCCCTCACCATGGGGGCCTCCATCGAGACCATGAATGGCTCGTTTGGGGGGCACGGGGAGGGAGTGGCAGCTCCTGCCATTGCATGTACCCTGGGTGGGCATGGGGGCGTGTGTCCCCAGATCTGCACATGGGGCAGTGCGGGCTGCCACTGCAGACTGGTGCTGGCACCAAGCTGTTCCGAGCAGGGGGCTGGGCCAGACTGCACTCGGGGTGGGTGGTGGCAGCACTGGGAGGAGGATTATGGTGGGGGGGCCCTACGGTGAATTCTGGAGTGGCTGCAGTCAATCCCATAACCCCCTTCCACCTCTGCCACTACCTGCCCTGAGCGGAGCAGTGGGGGGCGGGAGGGGTTACGGCATTTCTGGAGTGGCTGCAGCCCCTCCCATAGTCCCCTCTCACTGCCGCCACTACCTGCCCCGAGCATAGCCTGGCTCAGCCCCTGCCAGGAAGTGCCTGGTTCAGCCCTGGCCCCAACCCGCAGCTGCAGCTCGCTCTGCCCTATGTGCGCAAATCCAGGGGCATGCATCCCCATGCCCTCCTGGCAGCAGGAGCCGCCCCACCCACAGATTTCAGTCTGGCACCCTGCCCCGGCT